CCATACATATGGAGGCTCTGTGCTGCTTCAGAATCTCTAGCCCTGCTACTTGGTAGCACAGCTGAGGCCTCCCTTGACAGAGTCAGGTGCGTGAGTGAATTTTTAAGTATAACCTATAGGTCCCCTCTTCAGGACTTTCTCTTGACCTACCCATTCTTTGCCTGTTCAACCCACTGCTTGATTTCTTCTAATCTGCACAGCTCTCCAGACACACAGATAGCTCTTTATGGGGTCCAGAAGATGCCTTGGGAGCTGTTGTGGCTCTTTTCTGTATTGTGAGGGAGTGATCCACACATGGCAAGAGCCCTATGTATGGATCAAAAGACATGAGCTAGTCCTCTGTTAGGAAACCTCAAATGAGATCCATTTCTTACTCCAATCCCTAGAAGGCTGATAGTTGTTCCTGTGCTCAGCATTGTACTAACAGGGGAAGACTGAGTCCTGCTCCAAGGAACTTACAATCTAACTCAAACCCTGACAGTACAATAGAGACACATCTGATAGTCAACAAAGGTCCAAAATTCAGGTAATGTTCTTTGCTTATTACTCATTAGTAGGAGAACATTGAATCATCTCCCATAAGTTGTACAATTCTGTTGAAGACCATTAGTTCGTTATAATATAATATATTTTGCTACTCTGAAATATTGATGAAAGGGACAGTTAGTGCACTCTGATCTAGTAACACTTCTCACTGACTCACTATATTTTCCAACTGTGGATGTGTAGACAGTTCCTTTGTAAAATACGTGATCTGGAAACTATACATTGTGGAACTGCAGATGTGGCTTCCCAATAAAGTCACCCCAAGTTGATAGTGCTCAGCACTTTGCAGGATGGAACCTAAAGATTGTAACTTAGTTTCTTATAAACTTCATTTAAGCACACTCCTTCCATCAACTCTGAATCTCCTTTGCACCTGAAATTTCTCATGCAGACCCTATTCAATGGAGACATTTTTTTTAAGTTTCACTGGCATTGAATTAGGTATTTTGAAAAACATATTTTTCACTTGCGGAATGTAGTGGCTTCTTATAAAATTGTCTTAAAATGGTAATTGTTTACATGTTCAAGGGGAACGAATGCAGTGGACTATTTTTCAATAAAAATGGGTGAATACATTTGGACCTATTTTCTCCGGAAATCCTGAGTCTCTGAGGTCTCTTCAGATATAAACTCACTGACTGGGGTTTCAGAATTTACAAGTTCCACAGACAGCCCTGGAGGACCTTACAAGCACTGTAAACCAAATAACCTGAAGGCTGCTTTAACTTACATTAGTACAGAAGCTCCAGAATCAGGGAGTGTAACAAGCTCCCTGATGTCACCCCATTCTTGCACCAAATGTATTTCAGTGCAGGAGAGAATCTGGCTCTCAGTTTTTCCACTGAACTTTTAAAATGAAGTGTAGCTTCACGGATTTTTCTGAACTCTTACAACTTTAGTCACAATAGTGAATGTATCAACAAATATT